CTTGTAAACTGCAACTAGGTTCCATATGAAATTGCCCGCTCTATTTCATAAAAACTTTTATATGAAATTTATCAACCGAAAAAGCTCACAAGTCCATGGTCATGGTCTGGAACCCAAGTAAGATTCTTCCCGATCAACTAGTTGCAAATTTGGCCAATTCTTGAGGAATCTAAAAGTGCATTTTATTTGTCCAATTCACGGCCTCGTGGTGGAGTTGTAGAAACTAGCTTAGTTAGTACAATCTCTCATTGGATAGGAGAGGATGACATTGTTAATTAATTTAATTAGTTTAAAAGGACTGAAGTTAGCTTAGTCAGTATCATGTCTCTATTGGCGCGCGCGCGCACACACACACACAAAGCATATCATTTCTCTGAATATTTGGACTGGAGGATGATAATGCCATTACTTTAAAAGATTGATATTGTTTTAGACGGCACATCCAACTGGACAAAAGTGGAGCGGGACTGATAAGTAATAAACATGACCTCAATGCTTGTGGTAACAACTAACATGAATGAATGGTGTCAGCAGAGGGCAGTGCTGAGCCTCTCCTGGTCCAAAAAGTTCAAGGCTACGAAGTACTGGAGTATTTAAGATCGCCGCGATTCTTCATTGTCTGAACTGAGGCGGCATTGAAGCCACAGTAGCAACATAGCCCAATCAGTTCGCACCCATGAGCTTCATTTTGTTTCCAGATATCGTCCACATTCCACTCACATAAGTTGTCAACAAGTCAAAAAGGTGCCACTAGTTCAATTTTTCGCACCCATTAGCTTAATTTTGTTTCTAGATATAATCCCCTATCAAGATTTCACTGAAGTCGCGAACAAGTCAAAAAGGTGCCACTACTGATGCACGTTGTTATCCATGATATTGACGACCACGCATGTTATTAGCCATGACGATGTCGAGGGCCAAAGCAAGCTACGTACCACTAACTAGTGAACAAGTAGGCGACGACCTCGTAATTAAGTGGCTCTTCTTGACTGGGAAGGTCAATGTTATTGTCAAGGTCATGCACGGCAGCAGGTGGTAAAGCAGTTCCTTCCACCTTCACCTCCCGTATGGAGGTGATCATGGCTGTTGAAGCTTGCCGTCTATAGATGGCTGCCCGACGAGGGGACACATCGGGTTGACGTGTAACACCTCGGCTTGACATGTACCACACGGTGTCTTGAGGTTCAGATCAACTAATATGATAGTGCCTGTAGATTTGCACTCCGAAAAAAAACAGAGTATGTGTACCGCTGGCACTGAAGGAGTTTACCGTCCGGGGCTACCAAAAGAGAAATCGTGATCTTGAGCGGTACACGGCCATGATGTTTGTTGTATTTTCTCTTCGCTATGTCCAGCTATGGTCCAGAATAGCAATAAAGTCAAATTGAATCATTTTGCCGACCTTTCTTTTGGATTTATTGCCATAGGTACTGTTCGAGAGCGATGATGTGCGATGAACGCTCGAATGTAACTAACATCAGTTCTCTCCTCACATGGTTGAAGTAGATGCTGCTGCTGGATGGAATGCTTCTGAGACGCCATAACCCTTCTATCAGGAATAGAATAATCGAGAGCATTGACTGACTGCATCAATCAGGCTGCCGCAAACTTTATTGTGAGTTTTATGGCAAAGACAGTGGCTTCGAATTCGGGCGGACACCAAAGTTGTTTGAGCAGAGTGGAAGTCTCACATTTATAAAAGTTTGAAGAGTATACTTTTGTTTTCTGTCTACAGCGAATCATTGTAGCTTTAGCATAGTGAACTTCTGTTTTTATATGGAGAACTGCTCGAGCTCCAAGATTGTCTTTCGTTCTGAAAAGAAAAACTATACAATGATCCATTCTATTCCCTCCATCTCAAAATGTAAGATCATTTTTGACAAGGAGTAGTTGTCAGCAGTAAACTAATGTTTTTAGCTAAAGTGTGTTTCTCTAATGCTTTTTGTTTTTGTTACAGTGAACTGTTGCAGGTTTAACAGAGTGAATTTTTTATTTTTATATGACAAACTACAAAAATTTGAAGATTGAACTTATGTTTCCTATTTTTATGCAATGGCTGATGTAGTTATTGCATGATGAACTTTCTATGTACTGCCAGGCTACCGGCATGAGTTTAACATGTTTCTCGGAATAAACAGTGCGTTTTTGGTGTATTTATAATAAACACCCCTTTTCATTTCATTTCACCGCCTTTTACGAAGAAAGCAAATCAGTCGCATACGCCTACAACAACTCGGTTTAGTCCAACAAAATATAAATGCAAATTTACAGCTTGACGAAAAATCTCATTAAATCCGCTAGTCTTCGACCTTAGAAAACAAAACGCTGTAACTAGTTGTCCAATTGAAGAGAAGTTGGTTTTTCTCCACTACACATTTCTTCTTCTTTTTGCTGGGGCCCACCACACATTTCGTCCTTATAATCTCATAGGCTGCTTATGCTTTGCTGCGTATCCATCCAAATTCTAGCGCACAAACAGCTGCTTCATCCCAAGAATAATAATAAACACCAGCAATCGTAGCAGCATCTGCAGCGGCTGCTCTACCTCCTGCTGCTTGCTCCGCTCGACGCCAAGGAGCCCCGGACGATTTGGTGACTTGCAGTGCCTTCTTTAACCAGCAAGCGCCGTGCCACGCTGGATACAAAGAAACCACTAGCAGGATAAAAAATAGGTCTGTAATTCATACTTCATCAAGTCGCTCTTTTGCATTTGTGTAGGAAAAACTCCTTTTGGGTGAAAAGATGTGCATTATTATATTAATTTGTACATACCAATATTTTGGATATTGTAGCATTTGCACGGTTGCGAGAAAACACATGTTCTGCCATCGACCATCAGTCCTGAGTCGACAGATGTAGTAAACAGAAAAACAAATTAGAAAGGATACACAAGTGCAATCTATAGTTGAAACAAAAAGAAATAAATTAGAACTCACGTTAAGTATTTTTACGGAAAAAAAAAGATCCTGTTGAAGTACAATGCTGGACTAAAAAATCAATCCAATATTTTAGATCCCGTGGAAAGGATAAATAGCACAGGAAACTGAATAGTAGTTCTAAAAAGAGGAATTCGGAGAAAGGAAAATTGCACAAATACACTATCTTTAGGGTTGAGGTAAAAGAAAAGCCACAAGTCCAAGGGATTTTAATTAATATCCACAACTCCGTGGATAAGTTTTAACAAAAAAAAAGACACATAATTTCTCTGATTAGTCACTTAACACGAAATATAACGCAGAGGTTCCACGTCTCGTTGACTAGAGGGACGGCTCAGCTCGAGTCGAGCCTGGTTCTGCTTGGCTTTTGTTCTCAACCAAATCTGATAAAAGGTGTGTTTTTTGTTACCACATTTCTGGACTTGTGCGTATCAGTTAAAATCCTCTGGACTTGTGGTTTTGTGCTGCATCAGCCTTAAAGGTTGTATATCCGTGCAATTTCCTCATTTATAAAATAATAATGGAAAAGGTAGAGAAGAAAATAATGGAATTGAAAATGTGTTAAACAATAGCAGAAGAGGTTAGCCATGAATTTTATCAGAATATGTTCACTGGTTTTGAAGTGTAGCATGTGGAATTACTTGAAGCTTACATTTCTTCTCTTATTCCCAGCGTCTTCGATGCTCCCTGTTCTTCTGTTGCTTCTCTTGTCATATGTATTCCAAGCGGCATCAGTTAGAGCATTCAATAATAGGACTGATGTGGATTCCTTGCTGGTGTTCAAGGCAAGCATAAGCAACCAGCACGGTGTCCTAGCTGCATGGAACACAAGTACAGACTTCTGCCAGTGGCCAGGCATCGGTTGCAGCCTTAAGCATAAGCACAGGGTCACAGTGCTTAACCTCTCTTCGGAGGTCCTTGGTGGCACGATCGCACCTTCCATTGGGAACCTCTCCTTCTTGAGAATTCTAGATCTCAGGCGGAACAATCTGCAAGGTGAAATACCTTCATCCTTTGGTCGCCTGTCTCGCCTACGATATCTTAATTTATCCAACAACTCACTTCATGGTGATGTAAATGATAAATTGAAGAATTGCACCAGCCTTGAAAGAATGCACATTGGTTCAAACCGTTTGGCTGGAGAAATCCCTGCTTGGCTCGGAGACTTGTTAAGTCTCAAAGTCATAGACCTAGGCAGTAACAACTTCACTGGAATCATCCCGTCGTCACTTACCAATCTCTCAGCAGTGCAAGCAATCTATTTCAACACAAACCAACTTGAGGGTGTCATCCCTGAGGGCCTTGGCAGGCTTGGTGGCCTTGCCTACATAGACTTGGGAGAAAATCGCCTCTCAGGCACCATCCCTACAGCTCTCTTGAACCATTCCTCTCTAATAGGCTTGGGTGTGGGAGCAAATGATTTGTGCGGTAAACTTCCCCCGGACTTTGGGGATCAGCTCCCAAATCTTGAGTACCTACTCCTTGGTGTTAACCACTTTACAGGAAACCTTCCAGCTTCTCTTGTCAACTCAACTAAGATATATGAGCTAGATGTCTCCTTCAACAACTTCACCGGAATATTGCCTCCAGAGATTGGAATGCTCTGCCCAGAACAACTCACTCTCGGAGCAAATCAGTTCATGGCAAATACTGTGCAGGACTGGGAGTTCTTGACATTGTTGACAAACTGCACGCGCCTCCGTACATTTAGCCTCCAGCTCAACATGCTAGGTGGCATGCTGCCTATTTCAGTTGCCAACCTATCAGCACAACTCGAATTGCTATATGTTGGAGCCAATGAGATTTCTGGAAAAATACCATTTGGCATAGGCAATCTTGTTGGATTAACTCAATTGCAGCTAGCTAATAACCAATTTACTGGTTCCTTGCCTGACACCATAGGGAGGCTAAATTCGCTACAAACCCTGGAGTTGCAAAATAACCTAGTGACAGGGTTCATGCCATCGTCTCTTGGGAACTTGACACAACTACTAAATCTGTACACACACAACAACATGTTTGAGGGGCCTCTTCCAACAAGCCTCGGGAGCCTACAAGAGATAATTTCAGCAACCTTCTCAAACAATAAGTTCACAGGTCCATTGCCTAAAGACATCTTTAACCTATCGTCACTGTCAGACGCCCTGGATTTGTCTAGGAATTACTTTGTTGGTTCCCTTCCACCAGAAGTAAGCGGCTTGACAAACCTTGCACACTTATACTTATCACGGAACAACTTGTCAGGGCCCCTACCTAATACACTCAGCAACTGTCAAAGCTTGATAGAACTTGGGCTGGACGATAACTCCTTTGATAGCAGCATTCCCTCATCTATCAGCAACATGCGAGGTCTGATGTTGCTAAATCTTACAAAGAACATGCTTTCAGGTGTTATTCCTAAAGATCTAGGGCTAATGAGTGGCCTTCAAGAGTTATACCTAGCATGCAACAACTTGTCTGGTCATATCCCAGAAAGCTTGGAAAACATGGCATCATTGTACCAGTTAGACCTATCATTCAACCATTTGGATGGCAAAGTTCCATCATGGGGAGTGTTCAGTAATGCATCTGGGTTTTCGTTTGGTGGGAATTTGGGGCTTTGTGGTGGTCTACCAGATTTACATTTGCCCCCATGCCAGCCGGAATCCGTGGGACATGGCTTGAGCAAACGCCATTTGACTATGATCCTAGTTACCGCAATTGCTGGCATAATTCTTGCTTTGAGTTTGGTGCTTGTTTTCTTCACAATGAGAAAGATATCAAAAGCTCGGTCTACAACCATAGGAGGATTCCAGTTGATGGTTGACAGTTATCCCAGAGTTACTTATGCTGAATTGGTCCAAGGAACAAGTGGCTTTGCAGTAGACCACTTGATTGGCAGAGGAAGGTATGGATCGGTGTATAAGTGTTGTTTACTACTAAGAAATATGATGACCACAGTAGCTGTAAAGGTTTTTGATCTTCAACAGTCTGGCTCTTCCAGAAGCTTTTTAGCTGAGTGCGAGGCACTTAGTAAAATCCGCCATCGTAATTTGGTCAGTCTCATAACTTGTTGTTCAAGCACTGACTCGAACCAAAACGACTTCAAATCCATTGTGTTCGAGTTCATGCCTAATGGGAGCCTGGATAGGTGGTTACACATGGATGTACATGTATCACATCAACTTCAAGGCTTGACATTGATGCAGAGACTAAATATTGCAGTTGATATTGCTGATGCACTAGATTATTTGCACAACAACTGTGATCCACCAATAGTTCACTGTGACTTGAAGCCAGGCAACATTCTTCTTAATGAGGATTTAGTTGCTCATGTTGGGGACTTTGGCCTTGCAAAGATTCTTTCTGAACCAGCAGCTGACCAACTGAACAATTCAAAGAGCACAGTTGGAATAAGAGGAACAATTGGATACGTCGCTCCAGGTAGCTAAACTTTTCTCTAACATGACATACTGCACAACATTAAATTTGCGTGCAAATCACTAATTCTTGTCTATGCAATGTAGAATATGGCGAAGGTGGCCAAGTTTCTTCATGTGGAGATGTGTACAGCCTCGGAACTGTCATCCTCGAGTTGTTTACAGGCATGGCACCTACTCATGACATGTTCAGAGATGGGTTGACCCTGCAGAAACATGCCCAGAATGCTTTTCCAGAGATGCTAATGCAGATTGCTGATCCAGTCCTACTGTCCACTGAAGAAGCCAATACTAATAGTTTGCAGGATGGAAGCAACACAATGGAACATGCCATATTCTCTGTCATGAAGGTTGCGCTATCATGCAGCAAGCATGCACCGACAGAGAGAATGTGCATCAGAGATGCTGCTGCTGCGATTCAGAGGATAAGAGATGGCTATGTTAAAGCAAGACAAAATGAGGGGGTTGTTACAGCTGCATTTACCGCAAGGCATTTTGCTGAAACATCCAGGGCAGCCCCTTGAACTGGCATCACACACTCACTCTTAATTAATGGCCTTGTAGTAGTTATATATTGCACTCCTATGGTTTTGATATGTTAGTTTCTGGCTGGCGATGTTATCTTAGCTTGTTGATCTGCCGTTTGCAGCCTGTATGTCATTCTGCCTTCAACAGTTAATATGGTTTGTATATTGGGATGCCTAAATACAGATATTAGTGAAGTCCCTTCCGTGTAAAAGACGGGTATAACTGCATGATATATGCACTAATAACACGACTGGACAAATCTGTATTTTGTTCCCAGGAGTTTAAGTGGTCATTATATGAAGGTAGATTTGTATAAATAAAGGGCAGATACACGATAAATATGGTATCATGATTCTGTTCTATTAGAAGAGAAAAAAAAAGAAACTCTTTTAGATGGAGAAAGGATATCCGGTACTCACCATACTCCAGGCGGTTATTACATTGCAATGTCACAGGCAATACTTGTCTTCAGTGTCTTCTATCTGCTGTCATTTAAAAATGCAACTATTGCCCCTGCTTTTTCGGAAGGGAAGACAGAAGTGGTGTTAAGCAGGCAGTGAGGAAATAACAACGCGATTGAGAAAAAGAAAGTTGTTATGACCGGCCAGGTCTATGGCCGCCGCGGGCCCAACAAGCAGGCTTAGGCCCGCAAGTTATCTTAGTTTTATTCAGATTAGGCAAGTTATCTCAGGATTGATTCTTCTACAAATTATCTAGGATATAAATATAGATTGTAAGACTCTTTTTGGATTCAAGCAATAAAGACTATTATTATCTTTTGTTGCCCTGCTCCTAGAGGAGCCGGAAACCCTAGCCGCCGCAGCCAAGCCGCCGCCGCCCTCAACCCTAGCCGCGATGGCGCCCTGCCGCCGGCGCGCCCGTTCCTCGCCGCGCCCACTCCCTCCTTGCCCCTACAACCTACGCAGTAGAGCCGGTAGGAACCCTAGTCCTACCAATTTGGTAATCAGAGACCACGTTGCGATCATGTCGCTGCCACCATCACCGCCGCCGCTGCCCGTCGGTACCACCGCGCCCATGACAACGGCGCCAATCATCACCGCGCCGACCGCATCCGCCGGGACCTCGCTAGCGTATCCCGTCTCCTCCTCGGCACCACCTGCACCGGCGTCTCCGGGCGCATCTGCACCATCGCCGGTGGCCGCCTTGTCTCCAGAGCAACTCGCCGCCACACTACATCACCTCGTCACCGCCGTCCACGGGCTTCAGCTCCAACAGCAATATGGGGCCGGGGCTTATGCTCACCCACCGTCGGCCCCGATCGCCGCCCCTGGTCTTCTCCTACAGCAGCAGCCGCAGTACGGGGGCGGGGCGGGCCCCTTCGCGCCACCACCAGGACCGTACCAGGGCGCGCCCGCGTACGGCGGGTCCCCGTTCGGGCCAATCTAGGCGGGATTGGCATCCGGGCCAGCGCCGGCCGCGGCGCCCCTCTGGCATTTGCCGCCGGCAACCTCGGCCGCCTCCTGGCTGCAGCAGCCGCCGCCCACCGTCTGGCCGGTTCAGCAGACGCCGTCCCCCGCATGGCCGGGCCAGCAGACGCCATCGACGGCGTCCCAGGGCCTGCTTCCACCACCGCTCTCCGCGCCCTCATCAGCCGGGACCAGCTCGGGTGCGGCCTCGACTACCGGGTTACCGATCCATCAGGTCCGGTTTCCCCCGTCCCCGTCCCCCCTGCCAGCATGGGCGGCGGGGTCTTCGCCTTCACCGGTCTACACCATGACCCCGGTTGAGCCGACTCCACTCCCGCAGTTCGGCGGGCCATCTGGCCCCGCCGGCCAGTACCCGGACTACTCCGATCAGGCACCCCCGGCTTCACTCTTCCGAGCCCCCGCGCCTGCTCAGCACGGCGGGCCGCAGCAGACACCGCCACGGTTCGCCAAACTCGACTTCGCCACCTACGAGGGCACGGAGGACCCCCTCAACTGGCTCAACCAGTGCGAACAGTTCTTTCGAGGGCAGCGGACGCTCGCTTCAGATCGTACCTGGCTCGCGTCCTATCATCTTCGAGGCGCAGCGCAGACCTGGTACTACGCCCTCGAGCAGGACGAGGGCGGCATGCCACCGTGGGAGCGCTTCCGGGAGCTCTGTCTTCTCCGTTTTGGGCCTCCTATCCGCGGGAGCCGACTGGCGGCCCTCGGCCGTTTACCATTCACATCTACGGTGCAGGACTACGCCGACCGCTTCCAGGCCCTGGCGTGCCACGCGCCGGGCGTCTCCGTGACCCAGCGCGCCGAGCTCTTTGTGGGCGGTCTGCCAGACCATATCCGCGTGGACGTCGAGCTCTGGGATCCCCCCGACCTCCAGACGGCCATGTACTACGCCCGGGCCTTCGAGCAGCGGGCCCAGACACTACAGCAGCCACTCGGACGGAGCGGCCGTCAGCCCAGTCGGCCAGCACCGACTTCCTCAGCCCCGGGTCGGCCTCTCCCAACCGCGACAGCCACACCCCCGGCCGCCACACGGCCCTTCCGTCGGCTGTCACCGGCCGAGCAGCAGGAGCGTCGCCGTCAGGGTCTCTGCTTCAACTGCGATGAGCCCTATACGCCGACTCATGTCTGCCCCCGCCTCTTTTATTTAGAGACGGTCGACTACACCGAGGAGAACGACTCGCCCGACCCGTTACATCCGCCTGCGGCGCCCGAGGACGCGGCCGCGGATTCAGCAGCGACGGTGTGCGTCGTCTCCCTTCACGCCCTGGCCGGCATCCGGGGCGAGCGGACCATGCTGCTGCCCGTGACGATCCATGGCGAGCGACTGGTGGCCCTGCTGGATACGGGCTCCACACACAACTTCCTGCCTGAGTCGACCATGCGTCGGCTAGCCCTCCCGACGACGGGCGGGGAGCGCCTGCGGATCACAGTGGCGAACGGCGATCGCCTCCGGTGCCATGGGCTAGCCCGCGACGTTCCCATCTCCATCGGCGGTGAACACTTTTCCATCACCTGTGCAAGGATCGATCTCGGCTGCTTCGACTTCATCCTCGGGGTGGACTTTCTCCGGACCCTCGGCCCCATCCTATGGGATTTCGATGCGCTCACGATGACATTCTGGCGGCAGGGCCACCGCATCCGGTGGGAGGGCATTGGGGGCGCCGCGCCTGCCGTGCCACACCTCCAGCTGGCTGCCGCGTCCTCGGAGGCCGAGCACCCCCTGCTGGATTCTCTTCTGGAGCAGCACAGCGACCTCTTCGACGATCCGCGGGGTCTTCCGCCTGCCCGGGTGTATGACCATCATATTCACCTCGTACCAGGCTCCACTCCGGTGGCGGTACGGCCCTACCGCTACCCCCAGCTGCAGAAGGATGAATTGGAGCGCCAGTGTGCCCTGATGCTCGCCGCAGGCATCATCCGGATCTCCACGTCGCCCTTCACGGCGCCGGTGCTTCTCGTCCGTAAGTCCGACGGCACATGGCGCTTCTGCATCGACTACCGCGCCCTCAACGCACTCACGCTCAAGGACAAGTTCCCTATACCGGTGGTCGATGAGCTCTTGGATGATCTCCATGGGGCACGCTTCTTCACCAAGCTCGATCTCCGGTCGGGCTATCATCAGGTGCGCATGCATCCGGACGACATCGCCAAGACGGCGTTTCGCACCCACCATGGCCACTTCGAGTTCTTGGTGATGCCTTTCGGCCTCGCCAACGCCCCGGCGACGTTCCAAGCCCTGATGAACGACGTCCTTCGACCCTACTTACGACGGTTTGTGCTTGTTTTCTTTGATGACATTCTTATCTACAGCGCCACCTGGGCCGAACATCTCCAGCACGTCGCCATCGTCTTCAACGAGCTTCGGGCGCACCACCTCCACCTTAAGCGCTCGAAGTGCTCGTTCGGGACACCTACCGTCGCCTACCTCGGCCATGTCATCTCAGCCGACGGGGTGGCTATGGACGCCGATAAGGTAGCGGCCGTCTCCGCCTGGCCGACGCCTCACTCGCCACGGGCTCTCCGCGGGTTCCTCGGACTCGCCGGCTACTACCGGAAATTTATCCGGGAGTTCGGACTCATCGCGGCGCCCCTCACGCGGTTGCTTCACCGCGACGCCTTCGCCTGGGACGATGAGGTGACGACGGCGTTCGAGGCCCTCAAGGGGGCCCTCACGACGGGCCCCGTCCTCCAGATGCCCGACTTCGACCGTCCGTTCGTGGTGGACTGTGACGCCTCGGGCGCTGGGTTCGACGCCGTACTTCATCAGGGCGATGGGCCCCTCACCTTCTTCAGCCGGCCTTTCGCTCCGCGCCATCTTAAGTTGGCCGCTTACGAGCGGGAGCTCATTGGCCTCGTCCAGGCCGTGCGTCATTGGCGGCCATACTTGTGGGGGCGGACCTTCCACATTCGCACGGACCACTACAGCCTGAAGTTCTTGCTGGATCAATGGCTGTCGACCGTTTCGCAGCACCAGTGGATCAGCAAGCTCTTCGGCTTCGACTTCTCCGTCGAGTATCGGCCGGGCCGTCTTAACACCGTGGCCGACGCGCTGTCCCGTCGCGATTCCGACCTCGCACCACCCGCCGACGCGTCCGCCGGGACGGCCCTGTGCATCCGCTCCGGGCCATCGTTCGGTCTCTTCACCGACATTCGACGCGCCACTGCGACGGCCGATGACGCCGCACTTCTTCAGCAGCAGCTCGCGGCCGGCGACTTGGAGGAGCCCTGGCGCCTCTCTGACGGACTGCTCCTGCATGGACGCCGGATCTTTGTTCCGGCGCATGATGATCTCCGTCACCAGGTGTTGCAGCTCGCTCACTCGGCGGGCCATGAGGGTGTGCAGAAAACCCTCCATCGTCTTCGCGCCGACTTCTACATCCCTGGCGATCATGCCCTGGTCCGCGACTGGGTTCGGTCTTGTCAGACTTGCCAGCGCAACAAGACAGAGACCCTGAGATCGGCGGGGCTTCTTCAGCCCTTGGAGGTGCCGTCTCAGGTTTGGGCGGATATCTCCTTGGACTTCATCGAGGGCCTTCCCAAGGTGGGGG